CACCTGACGTTATGTCGGTTGCTAGAACCTGACTTGATGTCGGTTCTCCCTTGGCATGGGCCCACTTCGCCGATTTGCTCACCGAATCCTTCACCCAGCCAATCGTCCGCTACCATCTGGTCCCCTAACATCATTCATCGGTAAGTTGCGTCTCCGAGTTTCTGGGGCCATGCACCCTTCCTCCATGCACCCTTCCTCGCGCCCTAGTCGCGTTTGCATTTCTTTGGCCCCCCAAGTCGCGTTTGATTGATTTGGGCATCCATTCTTCCTCGCGCACGCGACCAGACTATACGTCGGTCGCAGCAACCAGACTATACGTCCGTTGCTGCAACCAGACGGTATGTCGGTTGCTGGACGACAGCGCATCTCCTGGCGAATACTCGAGCCCGGGAATACGCACGGAGCTGCGACTGTTGTCATTTCATTTGACCCCACATCTCCTGGCGAATTGTCTGGTAGAGCGAGTTCATGTATGTATGCTTGATCCCTTAATTCCTCCATTCACAATGCTGATATCTTACACAGACGGCAGCCCAGATTGCTATGGCCGCGAACATTATGATGACAGCGACACCAAGTGGCTTTTGAATCAACGGGATTGTGGTAGGTGGCATTTGCGCTTTTGTAAGACTGTAATAACTGTTTGTTTTGGTAGAGGATATAACACCCTATGACGCCCTCGTCCTGGGCGAGCTCAACGAATCTTTCGCCCCTTCAACGAGATCGATGTCCGCCCATTCTCTTCCGGGGGGACAATTGGTGCCTAGACGAGGCGTGGTAACTTCACCCAATGTATCTTGATTACCCTACATCACCGTCGCTCCTTTGCCTGTCCGAGCCTGTGCCAACGGTCGATTCGCACATGCCGACTTCACCATTTGCCCCCAATGGTGGTTCAGCAAAATGGCCCACCTCACCTTCGTGCTCCGGCGACCACTCGAGCAGGACATCAACAAGCACCCCCTTTCCTGGCTCTGGTGGGATGTCCAACCGAGGCATTTTAACCCTGTGGAAGGCTCAGCCTTCCAAGACTTGGGAACTCTCGATGAGAAGATCACGGGCATCATGAGGTCAGAGGCCAAAAAGCTCCATTCCCAAGTAGCCGAACTCGCACGCACCAAAGACCCCAAAATCTGTGGTGGTCTCTTCTTCGTGGCCAACCGGATGCGTGACGCTTCAGGCTGCCTCTCACTCACAACATTTTACTACCAGGATCTGGTTTGGCACGTCGCCAGCTTCCAAAGGCTGTACATGGAAACTCTGGCGATGGTTGACTGGTTCAAAACCTGGGAGGCTCGCCTCCTTGAACCCAACCGACAGGTTTACCCCATTGACGAGACTGATGGGGGCCATTACTGACAGTCTCGAGACGGCAGAGACTCTTTTCCGCATTGGGGCGCCCGTTTGGCTGGTTCGTACCCCAGCCGAAATCCCTCCACTAATCAACATTTTGAATGTACGCCCCCCAACGCCAAAAAGCATTGCCACCCTCCGTGATCGCTGTCCTTCTGAGGTGGACCCTCGTGAACTCTGCCTCGATGACTATCCAGAACACCCTTTTCCCAACATCACGACGGCTTCCCCTTGAAGCACACTCTACATACAGGCATGTCAGTCGCATTTTGAAGGGTTTCTTGGGGCAGAAGACCCAAAGCTGGTTGTGACGGAGCCGCAAAGTGGCTCCTCATCCGTAGAGCCTGGGACGGGGCCCAGTCGAACAGACCGCGAAGTTCTTCGAGCATCTCCTTGTAAGTTTGTTGCTGATTTCACCTCAGTTCATGCTCACAAATTATTGCATTAGACTCAAACCCTGCTTCGTCCTCAACAAAGGCTTCAGGGAGTATGTCAGGTGGTATGTATTTGTTAATCTACTTGCTTTTCTTCTATTGATGAAAATGTCTCTAAGTCACAGCATGCGTCAATCGCGATAAGTTTCGTGAGATTGAGGAGGCCTTCATACCCCCTCAATCCCCGGTGTGGAAGAAGGCGCTGCAAAACGTGAATCCCGACCCCTCCCGCATCAAGTCCTCCAAAGATCGTGTCTGTGGTTACCAGTTTCCCGACCCCTGGCTTTTTATGAAGGGAACGAACCGCAAGGCTTTCACACTCGCTTGGCTGATTTCGCGCAGCCAGTGGCTCCAATCTTTCACGTCTGTCGATTACTCTCTGTCGCCTGCGCCACACACTCAACACTGGCGCGATTTTCTGTATCATTTCTCAAAGGAGATGAATCTTGTTCATGGTTCGCGGGCCGAGGATCTTCCAACATCGC